TGTTTCTCGTACTCCTGAAATCAAGCCCGGCCTGTAACTCAGACAGTCTGAGAGATAAGATTCACGAGGCTCCGTATGCACATAAAATACCGCCTTTTGGGTGTTTAAATGTACCTTAACTTTTATTTATTTAAAATTTTTTTCTTAAGTTTATTCATTTATTTTTGAGAGAGAGCAAGCAGAGGAGGGGCAAAGAGACAGAGAGAGAAGCCCAAGCAGGCTCCTCACCAACAGCACGGACGGAGCCTGGCACAAGGCTCAAACTCACAAACCTCAGATTATAACCTGAGCCCAAACCACGAGTTGAATGCTCAACCGACTGAGCCCTCGGGCGTCCCATAAATCAACCTTAACTTGTGAAGCGTGACTTCAGTCCACGCCACCGTCAGAGGCTCCCTCCCAGGTTATAAAGTTCTGCTTCCAAGGGCTTCGTGTTTACATGTTCAGCAAAGAAAAACGCTCTGCGTAACCTTCTAAGGACACAGATGCGCATTTCAAGTTGTACCATTTGTCACAGAGCAAGATAACACGGGAGACTAAGCTGTTTGGACTGTTAGGAATTCACCTTTAAACTTGACCTCTTGTGCTATTTTACCATATGCTTCTGGCCCATCAACGGGGCAGGTCTGCAGAGGACAATGTATTTAACAACCCAAATCTCGTAATGGAAACAGCAGATGTTGTCGCTGCTCACCCCCCCCCCCCACGCCCGAGACAAAGTCTCCAGGCCAGGTGTCCTGTCACTCAGATACCCACTCTCACCCCACAAAGGGTCAGCAGAAAGCACAACCGAGGGGTATTTTGTTCTGAAGGTAGGTATTTTGCTCATAAAGGAAGGTTCTGAAAGTTCCGCCCAGACACGAGGCAGCAGAGAGCTTCACGCCGGAGCCCCGAGCGGCACAGTCACGGCTGGTCCTCAAACACCCACTCGGTCCCCCAGCTACAGACTAGAGAGTTTCTGTGCGTTTCTATAATTAACCAACCACGGGGAGGCTTCCTCATTCAGTCTTATCAAGCAAACCAAAAAAAGAACTTCTATGAAAATATGTAAATACTGTAATTGAGTTTGGAATATTTTGCATCAACTACAGATGTCTCAAGATAGAACTTTCTTCCAAGCTCATTCACTTTTGTTAGAAACACTTCGTTTTCCCAAAAGAGGCACGCTCACATATGGAAAAGCCTACCTTCCTAATAGAAAAACAGTCCCAGAACACAGGCACCCACCGAGACCTGAAGGGACAGGATGTGCACGAGGCATGGCCCAACTTTCAGTGTCCACACCCCCAACTCGGCCTCTGACTTTGTGCCCATCACCTTCATCTTGTCGACACCAAGCAAGCACTCAGGACGACACTCACCCAAACGGTCTGTCGAGGAAGGAGTGACAACCCGTGTGTGTCTATAACGAGGGCGGAGGGCGGGGGGACAGGGGACACCCAACCTCAGAGGGGCACCGCCCACCCCCCCAAACACAGGGCACGCAGCTCCGAGTCTGTTCACTGAAGCAGCTCTGGGACCAGAGTCACAGGACGCCCTGTGGTTGACACGGGGGAACGGGAGACCAGGTCGCACACACGTGATCCCACTGCCCCGTGCCTCCCGGCTGAGGGCCAGGGACCAGACACAGAGATGCTGCCAGGCAGACCCCTGTGGTCCCCAGCACCGACCTCAGTTGTCACCTCACCGATTCCTGTCATTCCCTCCTGAGAACGTGTGTTCTCAAGGATTAGGATTTAAGACTCTAGAACATATAAAAGCTGCACTTAAGGTGTGAGTAATCAGGGCTTTCTTCCCTTCTCTTGGCTCAAGAATAAGGCAGCCAACCAGGGCCCCCCCTGCCCAAGCCAGCAGGCACCGCGAGCCAGCAGGCCCCGCATGGCCGGATGACAGCATTGACTCGGGAGCACGGGGCATCAGGCCCAAGGAGGGGCGCAGGGTGTATTAATCCAGATCCTGGAACACCGCGCGCTCTCAGAGACAACGAACCTCAAGTTCACCCTCAGCAAAGGACAGGGCAGGGACGAGCCAGCTGTGAGCTCCCAGCTCAGGCCCAAACACCGCCACCCGCACCCTGGGCAACAAGGTAGTAGAGGAACAACGATGTCAGGTGTTAGCACGACTCTTCTGTGTATCCCAACCCTCCAGTAGTTTTCTTGGGGAGAGCGATGCTCCACGGAGATTCTGGAGACGTCTGCGCCCACCACGGGGGCTTTGCCGGCTGTTCCCAGCGCTACATCAGCTCCGTGCCCATGTCACCTGGCCAGCCACCAGCGTGGCGGGCAGAGGGCTTGGCCGTGGCGGTGGCATTGCCCACCTTGAACACGGGCACCACCAGACCCGAGGGGGCGTGGGGCCAGGGCAAGTCCCAGATGCCAGGCCCCTGACACGCGGCGGGCAGAACTGAACACGTTGTACCCCCACCCCTCCCCGGAAGGGGTCAAGGAAAATCCAAAGTGGAGTTTCCCCTTCTACGATTTAATGAAGTAAATGCAAAGACGTTTAAAAATGTCTTTGCTGTTTAGAAAAGGGGCTTAGAGGCACCATGGGTGGGACTAAGGGCACAGAACGTTAGGAGTTTTGAAAACCGATTTTGCAAAGCCGCCCGCGGCCTCGCGTGGGGGCCGAGTGGGAGCCCAGAACCTACCTGCCTGGTCTCTAGGTCTGCACGAGGACTCGTGCACCCGACACAGAACCAAACACCGTGGCGTGGGTTTCTCCCTCTCGGCATCGCTCCTCGTGTGGGTCACAGGGCTGCTGTGCACCCTTCTACACCCCCCAAGCCTTCTCGCAGGACCTGCCGCTAACGAACAGACTCCTGTGATTCGCGGCCTGTCGGTGATGTCCCCTTTACGTGCGGAAACGACTGTTGCCTACGGCTAAAGGAACCGCTCTCGGAAGGGGGGAAGAGTTAAGAGTTACACACCACGAACTCGAGGCATGAATGCAGACTTTGTTTTCTCATGAAATACGGGAGCATTCCTAATGGTTTTTATTGCAACAGAAAGTCGTACTCAGAATGCCACGGAAGCAAGGTCACGTCTAGGGGCTGGTGCGCTGGCGCGTGGGGCCAGGTTAGGGAGTTTCTGGGCCACAGACGTCTGTAGTAATTGGAAGGAAAAGCCCTTTTATTGTCTGTTCTGCCCTCTCCCTCTTCGCGTGTGGTTTCTTCAGTTTTAACAGAAATATCCCATAAATGTGACATTCTTTCGCCATCCTAAGTCACTATGACCAAGGTATTCCACTTTCCCCTCCCGTAAGAACTCTTACTTCATAAAGACAAACTACTTAGAAAGACAGGTACGTGTACCCAGTCCGTACCTGAGCAGTGTTCACACGGGGCCTCGCCAGGACACCCCAGACACCCTAAACTCACTGTTCTAGCACGTTTTCCTAAGCAATTTTGGGCTATTTTTTAGTTTGAAGGTTTCACTCTTCTGGGATCAAGATATAAAACTCTCTTGATCCTCAACCGTTTATCTAGAGTCGATGTAAGGAGACCCACGCAGCCCACGGCCCAGCGAGAGGTCGGGCCCCCAGCAGTGCTCGGCTCATGTAAATGCCCTTTCCTGAAGGGTCATCGGCTCCAGCACCTTTGTCCACTATGCTCAGACCCAGGAGAAGGCTACTCTTAAAAGTAAATGTTCTGGGGCGCCTGGGGGGGCTCAGTCGGTTGAGCGTCCGACTTCGGCTCAGGTCATGATCTCGCAGTTCGTGAGTTTGAGCCCCGTGTCGGGCTCTGTGCGGACAGCTCAGAGCCTGGAGCCTGCTTCAGATTCTGTGTCTCCCTCGCTCACTGCCCCTCCCCCACTCGTGTTCTGTCTCTCTCTGTCTCACTCAAAAACAAACATTAAAAAAATGTTTAAAGTAAATGTTCTCCACATCTGTACGGACCTGCAACGGCTTTGTTCATTCCGGAGCTAACTGCAAAAGGATCTAAGGATAAATACCGAGTGGCTGCTGAGTGACAAGTCAGAAGCACTGAGCGTTAGCACTTGCAGTGCTGGCCTGGGACCAGTCCTCACCTCGCAAGCTCTGGGGAGACGCCCAGGCACACGCTCCTGTGGTAACAAGAATGGCACCACAGGATCAGATTTGCCTTCAGGCAACAGGCCTATAGGACACCGGTATAGAGCCTCTGGAGAGTTCTTTCACGCAGCTCGCTTCATGTGGGGCCATTTCCACGTGCCAGCGGCAGAGGTGGCGGGGTTACAAGGTCACGATGGCCACCAACAGGCATGACGGCGACCCTGCTCCGCAGAGCACTCCACAGTGGCACTGGAGGGAAACACAGGGCCTCGGACACACCCGAGCGTGGCTGCGCAGACTTCAGTGCTTGTCGTGTTACTTAATACACTTTTGAGAGGGTTTGTGATCTACACATGAAGGGAAGAGCCTGAGACCGGACAGGGGAAGGACAGCAGCTGACACTCTGGGACTGTGGATGCTGATGGAGGGGAAACCCGGGTCTGGCAAAACAAGAAAGCAGAGGGTGGCTATACTTCTGATGAACACATTCGAGCTGTAAACCGGCCCTCGAGCATCAGAACCTCATGAAGTCGGGTAAAAGTTATCGCTGCCTCCGAGGTTTCAAGAAACCAGGTACTGAGTAAACGGGTACTACAGACCAGGCCTCACTGTGTTTAGAATTCAGGGCAAACCACATGGGGAACCTGGATGGCGTGTGAGCATCTAAGCCGCAGAACAAAATGGAATAAAATCAAACCTTCGTCGTTCCTGACTGGGAGACACTGTGTCAAGCGGGGCGGAGAGGAGAGGGGAGAGGACACGTGATGGTCATTCTGAACAAAAAGTACGCATGGCCACATCTTTGTCTACATTACTCAATGTGCTGGACTTCGGGACACCTGAAGGACACTGACGTGCCATGTAACTGTACGCACTGAAGTCACAGGCTTGTGCACGGGCTTTCCACGTTCAGATGTTATTTCAGAGCCGACAGCCTATTTCACAGTAGTATCTGAGCGTCACACACAAGCAACATGTATATACTGCAAGTTTATTTCAATCACACAAACGAAGTTAGCGTGTAGGAAATTTAAATGAAACAATACGGTAAAAATGGCAGAGAACCGAAAGTCTAAAGAGGAAGCACACCGAAAGCATGAGAATCCAACATTCATTAGTGTTTCGTCCTCGGTTCTGACGGACACTGGGTGCTTGCCAAGCGTGGACGACCCGCGATCCGGACAGCCATTCCGGAGAGGCATCAGCACCGGCGGAAGGGGTGTACATTCAGTTGGTTTGCGATGGACTGTTGGCCATTTACACAGCACACAGGACGGATTTGTCATGGGTCAGATCACAGTGTTGAGGAAAGAAGTGCCTTCCTGTAACCAGAAAGGACCCCCTGAACTGCACTCAGCTTCAGACAGCCCGTGGACTGGAGCACGAAAACCATCGTCTGACGGGGTTCCGAGGAACCTCACTCTGATAAGGAACATAACTTAAGCTTCTGCTTCCCATCTTAATTACTGAAATCTCTAACAATGACAAAACTGTCACGTAGGACAGTGAATGTGTACAGTGATTTCATCAAATTGCTAAAGAACACATTTAGCAATCCGGGATAATGCAAAATGATGGAAAATGGCGTGATTCAACACTGGTTCTTTCTGTCATTTTACACAGATATCCTGTTAATGTTAGACCAAGGCACGAGACAGTTAGTGCATAAACCGGTTCCTTTTTAAGATCTAGCGCTTTACTGTAGTCTTTTTTCTTACTTTGGACCACGTGTACCCAGAATCCTATCCTACTAGAGACTAACTTAACCAACAAAATCAAGTGATTTATCACCAGATTTATAGGGGACAGAAGCGTTTATACCATCAAAGTGTCTGCATTACCAAAAGTACAAGAATAAAGATGAAAATGTCTCCTATTTCTTCTAGAAAACTGTACTTTAGAAGCCTGCTGCATCTTGAATGCCTTTACTACTGCCCGACAATGAAGAGGCATAGAAAACATGACTGTCGACCTGAATGATGAGAGCTCCTCCATCACAGATTAAACTAAAACTGCAGTTTCTACAAAAACGGGAACTACCGTAACCAGGAAAAAACCCCCCCCTCATTCAAACCGCTTGGAAGGGTCGTGGCGGCAAATCTGCAGCCTCTAGGAAACTATGCTAGGGACAAGCTCCACCCTACCAACTGAGATTACGAAATCTAGAAAGCAGATGAAAATGGATTATTTCTGCAAAACTTTAGTAAAACTCCAGATAATCAAAGATTCCAAAGCAAATATGGCACATAACTGAAGATAAATCAAGATGGAGAGCCTGGAGAATTTCTGATTTCCTCAACTTTCAACAACAACAACAAAAAATCATTGCAACATAGAGAATCTCCCCCCTATTTTAATCTTCACGCGTTTCCAGGAGAAGGGCGTGGACTGCAAACGCACATGCACACGCCTGAGTCTCACTCTGTCATGACAGGAGAACCACTCAGAGCCCCTCGCTGGTCCCCTCTGCTGCATGGTTGATGCCTGTGACCTCAGTCGCTGCTGACCTCGCTCCTTGTATTTCCACACAACAGAATTCAGACGCAGCTTCCTGGTCAGAACACGCACCTGAGCAGCTGTCCGGCTGCAGGGCACCTCAGACTCAGGGATCAAGTTTTCGAGTCCCACAGGACGATGTGATTCGTGCGAAGCTCAGAATCATGTTTCAGACCATTGAAATTACTGAAGTTAACATACGAACAGCTGAAGACATGATGTAAAAGATTAAGTACTTGGTTCTGCTAACATATTTACCAATTAAAGTCACAAAATATTCCTCATTATTATTCATGCAGGTAATTGAGAAAAAAAGACAATGCAGAAATTAACTTTAAATGAAAAATTATTCCTTCCCTTCCTCCCACCCCCCTACACTCTACAAAATGTTTTCCCTGGGACCAGGCCAGTGAAAAGGCCACTATGTATTAGTGTGACATGCATTACTGTTTGCAATTAAAAAAGCTAATTTTGTGGTGGTTGTAATTACATTATAAAAATGTCCACATGCATAAATCTAAAAAAGGTTGAAAACCTACAGTAAATCTACAATATATTGTTTTACATTTGACCACTGGTGTGTGTTATGTAGGAGTCATAGATTTGGTAAAGCATTTTAACAATTTAGGAAGGCATCTAAATCTTTAAATTCTGGATGAATTTTATGTTTTAATCTACAAAATTGCATGAAGGCTAACTCGAGAGACTTCCTATCATTCTAAAATTCCTCAAGCCAGACAAATCATTTTTTTGGACACTTTCTTATAAATATCACCCTTTGAAAGCACATACAATTCCATCTGTTCCACGGTTTAGGATCTTAACCTCCACACGGCTGACTTCGATTACGGAATATCAAATGTGATAGGAAGACAAACCTGAGAGAAACATTTACGATACAATAGCGTAACTTGCTCAATTCTTCATCAGCACTCTCTGAAAACAAACTTCTTAAGCCTTTCTCTTCTTTATTTTAGCAATGGATTGTGGAAAACGTGCGATTTTGTCTTGACATGAAACTATTTCAATGCACGGCGATTCTGCCTGATGGGTTTAGGATTTTCTGCATAACCGTTAAATAGGAACTCTTATCCGATTCTTCCATCCTGTTGAAAAGGTCAGAAAGCAGCAGCAAACTGGGAGGGAAACAGCTTATCGCCAGAGTAACAGCGTCTGGAGGCTCACAAGTGTGCTGGGTCTCCTCCTTCCGACTGTTCGGATCCACTTTCTTCTCGCGGCTCACAAAACATAGGGGGTTGTTCTTAACAGCTGTTGTTCACAGGGGTCTTTTTTCTTCCTCCAACTACAGTCCTGTTTCTCCTTGGTTTGTTTCTCTACGCAGAATTGGACTTGCTCAGTTCTTGCCTGATCGCTGGGAAGGAGAAGGAAATGCACTGCAAGTAAATTTGATGTGGAGGCAAACACGGGAGAGATTCTTTCCTAAGAACTTTAGCGACTGTGTTCAAAGTCCCAGCAAAAAGAAGACAGACTGACCTTGCACAACCTTTGTTCTCTTAATACAAAGATGGTACGAATTCTTATGTGTGTACACACACACACACACACACACTCATTCACTCGCTTTCTCCCTTTTGTGTACAACATGAAAGAAAATGGACACTGTGGGCTCAGAACGAGGGGCGGCAGGTGGGACGAGAGGACAGGTGTGGGACGGGCCAGCTCCCCTGGACCTCGCACCTGAGATGTAGGGACTTCTTTACCCCAGTTTTTACAAACAGCTTCCACTGTAAGGAGAGGGCTCCTCCCGCACCCCAAGCCACGCGAAGGACAGTATACTATGCAAAACTAATTGTTTTATGCTCCCAAGTAATAAACTGGTTATTGCTTTACGTGCATTTCTTAAAGATGGGTATCCTCAAACAGGGGCAGCAAATCTGTTTATATACTCACCATCGATGAGCTCTTCTTTTAGCTTTGTTAATTCTTTTCTCATTTCATCTAAAATGTCCTAAAATATTAGAGAAAAACAGAAATACAGAAGAGAGTTACTGCTGCAAATACTCTTGCTTGTATAAAATTCTAAGAATATATGAAGTTTGGTGTATGGTTTTGTTTGCAGACCACTCAGGTCTCACAGTAGCCTCGCTTGGCAAATCATGTTTTAACAGTCTTCCCAATCTCTGCTGATTCTAGCCTGGCGAAGCCTGAAATGCCAGAACACTTTCTAAAACTAAAAATAATTCGCCATCCAGAGAAAGGTAGGATTCAGGTAATTTTCTAGAAAAGATAATAGCTCTGCTCTTAACCTTTTCTTCTGGGAGCAGTCTGATAGGTGGTGCGGAACGAAACTTTAAGGAACAGGAAAAGTCCACCAGACGAGCAGACCCTGGCCGAGCCGTGAGCCGGTGTGACGCACAGGACTCCGCAGGAATCCCACCACAGCTGCCAAACTATGTGCCACGGAACCCGGGACCCCTGTGGAGGGCCCTCAGGGGCTGCCCCAACGGGTGGATGCCAGGGTGGACGGGGCCCTGCTGGACCCGCACGGTCCCAAATAGCAGGCACCGGCCACACGCAGCCATGAACACCAGAGACGCGGCCAGGCTGGACTGGGGTGCATCGTCGTGTAAAACAGACTCCAGAGTTCAAAGATTCCACGTGACGAAAATACTGTGTGATAGCTCTTTAGCAATTTTTAAATACTGGTTACATATTGAGATATCATTTTATTCCATGAGGTTATATCAGACATGCAGAGACGGATTCTGCCACCTCTCTGCACTTACTTCACGCAGCTGGGCTGTTTGAGGTGCCCGGGTGCTCACGTGACCCGTCATTACCATCTAACGGTGCCCCTCTGGGTGCTCCCTCCTCCAGGAAAAACATTCCACCCTCAAAGATTTTGCCAAATTTCCATTTCTAAGTCTACTCTGAAATAATGGACACCCCCACCGCCTTAAAAAATTACCAAGAACGGCATCTGGCGACACCTAAAAGGTTGACAAGGTGATGCAATTTGAAAAGTAAAAGCTATCCTCAGGATGGGCTAGTTTCCAACTTGCAGCCTTCTTTAACACCGCGCACCTCAGTAACATTAAACTGCTCTGTTTAAGGTCCATTTTCTTAAAAAGCTTTTCAGGTTTAAAATAAGGTTGAAACTATCAGTAACTCCCCCACTTTACAATAAGGAGCAAGCACAGCACGAAACAGAACAGCCTAACAGATGTCCTTATTCAAATCAGTATGAAAATCAGGGCTAAAATTCAACCTCTCCTGGCTCCTTCTCCACTACTTCAGATGGCCGAAACGCACCATGTTTCCAGGCGTGCGCAAGCACTATATTTTAAAGGGTTTTTCAAGAAAAGAAAGCCATGTTTAATACATAGAAAATAGGGGCTTGATTATCGATGACCTTAAGCTTCCTTTTCAAACTACATAACTCAATTTAACTTTTCAAATAGCTTTGCAGTTTATAAAAATTAGGTTTATATGAAATGACTGTTAGTATTTCTCCTTAATTCATATTTAATTTTGAACTCCTATCACTGCAACATTATCTGTCCCTTTTGGGCCACAACATTCACTAGCATTTAAAAAGACGAGTGACGCCATGGGGAGAACATGCTTTGAAGAAAGATCTGGGTCCTGACCTCAACTTGAACTGCTGACAGAGCAGTGTGACTTCCCAGGCCCTCCGAAGTGCATGGCTAGAGTGCACACGCCGTCAGGCAGGCTCCCGCGAGGATCCCCAGACAGCGTTGCACCGTGAGCCTGGCCGGCGCCCCGCCTGCACATCCACCAGGGGTCAGTATGAGGCCACCACAGGACCCGGTGTGGTCACTGCTGTCAAGGGCATGTGGGGCAGGAGGACCACGGGGGTGCTCTCGCTGTGGCTCCTCTGGGCTCAGCTGCTCTGGCCAGCCTTGCCCTTCCAATTTTTGTAACACCACCAATTTTTTAAAAATGTACTCCACCATCTCTATGAGTAAAATCTTTGGAAGTCCACAATCTCCTCATGTGTCACTCCTCCTTTCCTGCTTCTGAGCACATCTGTGTACAAAGCATGTCCATGTATGATGCACATCTGTGTACAACGCACGTCTGTATACAAAGTTTATCTGTGTAAAAAGTTACATCCGCATACAAAGTACTTCCATGTAAAAAGAACATCCGTGTACAACGCACGTCCATGCATGACATGCGTGTCCATGTATGATGCAAGTCCGTGTACAAAGTACATCTGTGTACGATGCAGTCTGTGTTCAATGTACATCTGTGTGCAGTGTATCCAAAATATGGACAAGACCTTTATCTTTTTCATGAAGGTGAGAGAACTGCTGGCGCTGGTTGGTCGCCGTGTCACCAGCATGGGCGACGATTCACAATTCAGTACTAAAGCCTCTCAACTGTGACTCCTTAATGGCCGCTGGTGCTCCCCCACATTGTCTTTCTGTATACTTTTACTACAATATTTTCTTAGCATAAAATCCTGGAAGTGAAATTTCTGGGTTCAAAGGTAAGAGATTTATTTTGATTTGTTTTCCCAAACTGCTTCCTATAAAACGGAATTCTATGAAAGTGCCATTTCCCTCACATTCTGGACAACGCTAGGTTTGTTGGGTCCATTTTTGCCAGGATTCAGTAACAAGTGCCAGCCCATTTCCCTTTACAATTACACACCATGCACTTATGTTTAAAGTTTATACTGCACCAGTAAGCCACTACTGGAACTTTACATTAATGCACTGAACAAAAAAAAAATTAAGGTTTAAAAAAAAATTAAGGTTTGAAAAAATAATACAGTACTAATGCTGCTATTTCATTTGATAATAATATCTAAGCTCTATATTATTTTTTTAAACATTTATTCATTTGAAAAAGGGAAAGAGAGAGAGAGTGTGCCACCTGGAGAGGGGCAGAGAGAGGGAAAGAGAGAGAATTCCAAGCAGGCTTAGTGCTGTCAGCGTGGAGCCCGATGCAGGACTTGAATTCACAAACTGTGAGATCATGGCCTGAACCGAGATCAAGAGTCAGACTCTCAACTGACTGAGCCACCCAGGCGCCCCTTAACTCTACATTCTTTTTATGTACATTCATGACCTGTCAAGCACATGCACGCGAGATGTTTCTAAAAAGAAACAAGTTCACCGGAGGCAGCGGCCGGCGAGCGGGCCTACCTGCTTCAGTCTGTCGTAGTCTAGCCCCTCTGTCTGGACGCCGTTGGCACTGGGCTGTGACGAAGGTGCGGATTTTGGTCTGTACAAACGGAATTTCCAGGACAGGTAAACGACACTGGGGATGATTAAGCAGTTCACAAAAAATTGCAAATTCACCAACCCAACACTAAACCAGACTGAAGTCCTTCTCTTAAAGCACACCGTGTTAACAAGTTAATTGTCACGTTGCAGGACGGATTAGAACACGAAGCAGGAGGCATCTCCACTTGGCTCAGCACCCGTAGCGTGGCCATGCCTTCGGTCAAGGGCAGAGGAGTACGTCCTCCAGGCAGGGCCAGAGCGAGGCCACGTGCGGCATGGTGACTGGGACATGGCAGGAGGGCCACGACGCCCAGGCCTGAGCAGCTCGGTCTCGTTCTCCTGGAACCGTACGGTGCCCCCTGTGCATCTGGCAAACCCACCATTAGTATGCATCAGTTTGCAGACTCTGTGCCTTGGCTGATGGTGAAAACACATTTTCCAGACGACGTTTTCATGGAGGTGTCGTTGGAATGGTGTGTTTCCAGCTAACTACTTCCATAAACTTCCTTTGTTTTTTTTTTTTTAAATGGAAATGCCACACAGAAGCAGACTGCCAATTATGACTACATTTCCAGAAGGTTAGGCTCTACTAAAAACTCTACGTGCAGAAGTCAGTCTTAGAAAGCAGGGGTGCTTACAACAGAAGTTTCAATATCAAGCAAAGCAGTCCTGGCCACCAAAGAGAAGCCCAGAGCAATAACTGGGGTCTCACCGGGCACTGGTTAGCCTGGTAAAGCGGCCACGCTCTGAGCGTTAGCAATCAATGCAGATGAAAACTAGTCAAGTCACATATGGTCAAGTTCGCAGAGGGCCAACGTCACAAATCTGAACCAGGACTCCGTACACATAACTTTGCAAAGTTACGATTTCGTTAACTCTTACAAGGATTACACTCCAAACCCAGAGACACCGTTTGTGAAGATGAACTATTGAGTTAATTTGCTGTAATATCAAATATGGGACTGCTTAAGGGAACAAGCTGACCAATGCAATTTCATTAAACGTCACATTAGACATAACAGAATACCTTTCAGGGTACTCCTCTCAATAAGCACTGAGCTGGGCACGGGGAAGGAGGTAAGGAGAGTTACAGGACACGGCTCCTTTCCTATGGGAGGGGACTGCTGATTCCCCCAGTCACCGAGGATGTGCAGACCCGTGGCAGGTCAGGCAGGGCCCCCGTGCAGAGTCTGAACTAGGGAGAAGCCTTCATGGTCGGCAGACCCACTGTGCGCATTTCCTCTCCCCATGTGTCTGCTCCTGCTCGCCCGAGTCTCACTATCAATTACTCTGCTTTTCTTTTACTCATTACATTAAAGTGGCACAACCAGCAAATTCTTTCCGCCTAAGTTCTATAATGAACATCCCCTGATAGTCACATGAGCACCTGCAGTCTGCTAATTAACCAACCAGGTGGTATGTTATGAATATATCCGTATTTATTAAACAATACAAAACATTATTATTACATAAAAACCGATTGAGGAAACATGCAATTAAGAAATTTTAATTCATGCTAACATGCAACCCACCACCATGCCCACTAGCACCACCAGCACCATCACCGCCTCCCCACCCCACCCCCATGATAATTAACTAAAGGGGGGAACTTTTCATACTGAAGGAAAGAAGTAATCACCACTTTTTAAAAAAAGGTTTATCAACCTTCTGGGGGTGAGGGGCACTACATGGGAAAGCAGCAAGATAATGGAGAAGAATAACAACAATGGAGAAGAATAAGAGAATCTTACTAAATGCTGTTTTTCTCTCTTACGTACTTAGCAAATTTTCTAAGTGTTTTGGTTACAATGATTAAACCACCTCAAAAAAGCAGGAAAAACGATTTCACACTTGTAATATAAACAATTTATGCAGATTTAACTGGCTGAAAAACATTAAATCCTTTAACCATCAATGGCATGAAAGTAATTTTAGCTAATATCGATTTGGCCAAAAACAGTCTGACTGCAGAACTCCCGACTCCGTGCCCGAGAGCAGCCCCCCTGCCCCGCCCCGTATGCTATCTAGGTCCTGTTCCCAGCAGACTTGATGCTAGTTTTTAAAAATAGGTGCATGTAATAACATGGGCATTTCTCAGTTACTTCTAACCCATGGACTTTCACCAAAATTGATAACAAAATGAGGGTTTCCCACAGGTTTGTGTGTTACCTCTGGACACCTGCTGATGAAATAACTACTACAGTATTTAAGTCCCTATTCTGCCAAATTAATTCTAAATATTGTGTGAGCACCTGAGGACTCTTAAAAATTGTCAACTTTTTAACTAAGTAAGAAATACATAGTTCTTCTCTTAACTTTCTTAATTTGAAAAAAAATGGTATAACAGGACTTATCCTAGAAAACAATCTGTTCGGTATGTTAGATGTCAGATTGTTAAAGACACTCAATTCACTGCCAAGTACGTAGGAGACCGAGATTTTCCTCAAAGAATCAATTTTTCACAATGGCAGCTGCAATAAAGTCCCATGTTCCACTGACAAACAGTATGAAATCTTCCGCTCTGCCCTTGGAAGGCCTTGTCTCCATGTACACGGAGAACAGCCTCAGAAGAAAGCCCACAAGCTACAGGGAGCCTGGAGAGGACGCAGGGGCCTAGAGCCTATGGCAGCGCCGCGGACGTGCTCACCGCACACACTCACCCGGAGCCAACCGCAAAGTGATGGCAGGGAGGTGAGTACGAGTAACGTTCTAAGGACAATCTCTTAGAGTTTAAAAAAAGTGTTCTCAATAAAGCTAAATATGAAAGATTCGACCTTCCCAAGTATCCTCCTCGTGGTGATTACCAGTCCAGGTAGAAAAAGCTCAGCCCTGCCCTGAACGTGTCAGTTAAAAGTCTCAAATCACAAAGTCACATCAGGGTGATACCTGTGTAATGAATCATAGGACCTGTTGTCAAAAACAATCTGATTTTTCCTTGGAGAATCCCGTCTATGAAGGGGGAAAGACCATTTAAAGGGAAATACAATAGAAAACTTTTAAAAAGTAATTCTCACGATGTTACTGTTTTATAGGTTTGCAGTCACAGCAGAAACAATGAAAGGACTCCATTAACCTTAAAACAATCTTTTTCTTTCCTGTCCAGAAGACGGTATTTGGACACAAGCTCTATCTACAGTCATGTGAGGTCCCTGCCTCTCTAACTTGACGATGACTGAGCACAGAAAGGGAACCACCATGTGCTGACCCCTGTGCAGACCGCACACGCACAGACATAGTAAAAGCTACCTACACGAAGTACCACAAGTATCAAAGCACAGTAAAAATCAGTCATTTAAGTATACAAAACATAAACAACTTTTTTCTACCCTGAAGAGAAGATCTGTGAGCTCTTATTGAAAAACACAGGAAGAACTCACAAAGTTTCCAAAGGTATATTCCAGTCATAGTCTGAAGTATTTAAACATTCCTGGTTTACTCTACTATGTGAGGTCTTCCCTTAATAACCACAGCACAACACAGTATCCCATGTGTACTATGAGGTGTTCACCCATCTTACCACTAACATAACTCCGACAAGGACACTCATACGAGAAACAGGTACTTTCACTGCCCTGCAAGGGCGAGGTACACTTAAATAAAAACGTAAAGTGGCCAATACACTGGCTCTCAGAAGGAACAGGGCAGGAAACAGGCAGAAAAGCAATACAGCTCTGAGTCTTTCAAACATACATTCAAAATCTTTTATGGCTTAAAACTGCTTTTGGTGATACTTTAAGGCAGGTACCACTGGCTGGATCAAATCTATCAAAAGGCATATGAGTGTTCAGGGAATCCCCGATGTTTCCAGCATTTCCATTTCAGGAAAGAAGGAGCCCTCCATCTCCCAGAGCAGAATGTGATTACGACACACCCCGAATAACAAGACCCAGCATTTGGTTATTCTATAGAAAACTCCTTTTTTTAACGTGACTTTCAGAACACTTATTGAACTTCCTTTAGAAATCTGAAAACTCTTTCAAAGAATCTTTCTTATTATTTTTTAATGTTTATTTTATTTATTTAAAAAAATTTTTTTAATGTTTTATTTATTTCTGAGAGAGAGACAGACAGACAGACAGACAGCATGAGTAGTGGAGGATCAAAGAGAGAGGGAGACACAAAATCTGAAACAGGCTCCAGGCTCTGAGCTGTCAGCACAGAGCCCAAAGCAGGGCTTGAACCCACGAACTGCAAGATCATGACCTGAGCCGAAGTTGGATGCTTAACTGAATGAACCCTCCAGGTGCCCATTAATGTTTATTTTTGAGAGAGAGAGAATGAGCTGGGGAAGGGCAGAGAGAGGACAGAGGATCCGAAGTGGGGTCTGTGCTGACTGCACAGAGCCTGATGCGGGGCTCAAACTCACAAAGCGTTAGATCACGAGCTGAGCTGAAGTCAGGTGCTTAACCGAATGAGCCCCCCCAGGTGCTCCTCGAAGAGTATTTTTCAGATGAACCCAAACACACTGAGAAACATCCTCCCTTTGGGGACCTCTCCACATCCCCCCTGAGACACCCTTTCCAGCAGGGACTCGGGATCAGCTCCAGGCAAGCACACCAGGAAACCCTGATCACTAAGGTGGGGGTGCAGGCCAGACACAGAGAGAAGGAACCTCAAACTTCAGCAGACACACAGGACACCACAGTTCTGTTCTCTGGGACGCGCTGGTGGAGAAAACCCACACAAACTCCTCCTGGAGGCGCAGCAGAAGCCACCCCACGCAGGTGTCTGATAAACACCAATCATTCCACTCTGCTGAAAACACGGCCACCAAAAGCAATTCCTGCATTTTTTTCCTAAAATCAAATACACTCATCTTTCAGTCACTGAGAAACCAGAAACTTCTATACATTGAAAAAGGCTCTGTTCCTTTGTGGAACCCACATAATTGTGCCACCGCACCATCTCTGCCAGCACAGACAGCCCAGAGAAACAAACCCAAATTTACAATCAGGCTAACGTGGGACGGACTCATGACGGGGTCTATCCTCATATTTTTCCTTTTTTAGGTTTCTATAATCAGAGTCGAGTCTGCTTCTTAAGAGGCAAAACTAAGGCACAGAGGCCAGAAAGAAAAGGCAAAAAACTGTTTGGTCCCTACATACTTTTTTCTGGAAAAAAAACCAAGTCCTTTAAACTGTCTCTGAAACCAAGAGAAAGTCTCATCTATGCCCCAGACGTGTGATCACGTTAGTTATGACAATAAAGCAACGCCCCGCTGAGAAAGGCTGTCGTGGCCCCGGGAGAAACAAGATTAACCAGGCTTGTTTCTGGGCACTTTTTCTAAGATGACTATAATTAAAGTTTCAACTGAGAGAGAAATCCATCACAAATTCACAAATTCAGAACGTTAGGGTTCATTTTGCTCCTTCTTACACAATGAATGAAATTTCTCTCTGGCTTCTTTTCAGTTTCAAACATAAAAGTTTCTTTCAACAATCATGTTTACAAAATGAAGGATGTCACTGAGACTAATGGGGAAATGGGAATATGTTACGTAATATTGTTCGGTATTAAATTTCTCGAGAGCGACAGTGGTGCGAGGGTTCCACAGGAGACTGCCCACCTCCTCAGGGAAAAGGCTGAAGGCAGAAGGCTGAAGCAAACTTGCAGACAGCCTTCCAACTGTCCAGGGAACAAGCGTGGACGTGGAGGTCAGAGCTCAAAGCCAATGTGGCAAAACTAGTAACTGGGGAATCGGGACGATGGGCATCTGGGCGTTTGCTCTTCTCTCAACTTTTCTGCAAGTTTTGAATTTTTCGAAATAAAAACATCTGGAGGAATAAAAGTGATTTTAAGATTTCAGACAACCTGGCCTACAGTTAGCAGACGGTGGATTTCAGACAATCACCAGGAAGAATATAACATGCTCGGTAGTGTACAATAGCAGTAGGGCTACAGGGCTTATCTGCTCCTTTGTACATTCAAATCCACCATTTGCCTTTTTCTACAATGGAAATGTAGATGCTCACTTCTTTTTAGCTACACACATAAATATGAAACTTAGAAAACAAAGGTACCTGGAGATAACAGGTGACTTGCTGCCATTCATTGTATTTGTTCTTTCCCAAGGTTTTCTTGTTGGTTCTTTAAAAATACGGAACATGAGTTATTAAATATGCTATGTGCTCCAGAGTTATTGTAAAACAAATAACAAAAGACTATGTATCATTATGCATGTGTAGGTAGTAATATAAAAATTTTTTCATTTCAATTCTGAACTTTAATTAAAATCTATAAGGATTCTGGGCGCCTGGGTGGCTCAGTCAGTTGAGCGTCCGACTTCAGCTCAGGTCATGATCTCACAGTCCGTGGGTTCGAGCCCCGGGGTTGGGCTCTGTGCTGACAGCTAGGAGCCTGGATCCTGCTTCAGATTCTATGTTTCCCTCTCTCTCTGCCCTTCCCCTGCTCATGCTCTGCCTCTCTCTCTGTCAAAAATAAACAGATATTAAAGAAAAAATTTTTAATAACATCTATAAGAATCCTAATTTATATAACTTCAGACTTTAAAACAAGAAGAAATTAATAAGCAAGTGTGACCAGCCCCCCTAGGAAAACTGCAGACCGTGAAATCTAAAACCCTGCACGTCCACACGCCAGGGGCTAACAGTCTGTCTAACGAGCAGGCTCCGTACTAGAGGAATTCTTGGCTTGGGGCCTGTGGAGGCACCTAAGGGAGTGTGCAAATGAAATTATGAGCATGTCTGTATAAAAATATAGACAGCTGTCCCCTCTCATTAGGGCTGGGGGTGGGGAGGGCAGATTCATAGCTCTTTTCACCTTGTGGACAGCTCTGTGACCCTCACTTGTAGTGGAGCTCTGAAGTATCTACGCTCTTGGTAACAACACACATTGATTTTGGCTTACGGAAGAAAGATAAAGCTATTACAATAAGTGGTTCACAAACCAGAGACGTTTTAATGAAGGTAATGTCAAAGTGATCTGAGTCCTATTTAAAGAAAAAACAATTCACAAAGTCACGATATTAATTACAATGCAGCTATCAAAGTAGTGAATAGTCACCATTCAATAATGAGAACATGAGACTGTGTGGTTGGGTTTTTTTGAGAATGGGTTACAATCACAAAAATGGAAACTTTTTAGGATTTCTAAATAGTGGAATTCTAGAGATCACTGGTAGTCTCCAAATCAAAATGAGTAGGAATTCCTGTGGACATTTCTCTACAGTGATTACTTATGGGCCATTCAAGATATTAATTCACTGAAATCATCAAATGTATCCATGTTACTTTATTCCAAATGAGATACAAAGCTGAACAGATAGTCCAGGGCTTTGTCTTTTAGTCAAACAAGAGGACCTGGCATGTGAAACAGGAGAGCCACAAGGGCTGGGCATGGGCACGTGGAGCGCCAGCACTGACAGGTGCTTTATTCATATTCCACACAAGATCCTCTCTGCCCAAGAGTTCTCAACATCAGAAACTGCACTGAACTCAACAATACTTCTTAAAAACTTCAATGAGATTTTCCTTTTACCTTACAAATCAGAAGCTTTACTTCCTTGATAATCAGTATTGTCCAAATGCAAGGTTAAAATGACAATGCTCTCCATTTGAGAACATTTTGAGATGGACACCAGCGCTAACTACATGTTCACTTACATTTTTTCAATCATGTTTTTTAATGTTTATTTTTGAGAGAGAAAGAGACACACAGAGAGAAACAGAGCATGAGCAGGGAAGGGGCAGAGAGAGAGGGAGACACAGAACTGGAAGCAAGTTCTAGGCTCTGAGCTGTCAGCACAGAGCCTGACGCAGGGCTCAAACCCATGAACCGTGAGATTGTGACCTGAACCGAAGTCGAATGCTTAACCAACGGAGCCACCCAGGCGCCTCCCACTTAATCTTACCTTCAAGAATCAATGATTAAAGGTACTTCCCTTTCATCTGATAATGTATACTTCCTTGCTTTAGCAAATAGCCTCAAATCATTAACAGTAATACACATGGAATGTGTTAAAAATTATGATTTTCAAAGAAAGAATCATCAGAAAAAAATCTTCGGATTTTAACAGATCTCCGAAATATCACAGAGGCGGAGGAAAAACAAGCCATTGCTTCTGAGTGTGAACAAAAATCTTTTAACGTTTTTGTGGCCAAGCAGGTACTTGGTCCAAGCATGGGTAAAAGGGGAATTTTTAGTTGAGGGGTGTTGTTATTTTGAGAAGGATGACAAAGGTTGAAATACATCTCTGGGGCTTACCGGGCGTGCTTGTCGACGAGGCCTTAGCAGTTGCGGGCTCAGTATCCTCCTAAACACACAGAAACACATATTAACCACACGGCACCCACGAGAAACCTGGGGCAGACTCAGCGTCACACTCTCCTCCACATTCTGTACCCCCACTATGCTCCCCACCACGTCTTTCGTCAGCCTCCCACCCCCTCCATTCCAGCGTGGACTGCCAACCCACCCCCCCAGGTCCCATCCTCGAGTGCCCTCCCTGAGCTCCACCAGCCGAGATGAAGCCAGATGTCCCAGACGGGTCGGGGAAATGGCACGGGAGACCAAACTTGGTGGGACTGCGGGGGAGGTGGGGAACACCTGTACTGCTCAGCTGGACAGCGGTGTGCTGGGCAAATGAAGCCCAGCTGACAGGGGGAGGGGGGAGGGGGCACAGCCCAGAGCCATGGGGAAACTGTTCAAAACCAGAATTCAGTCTAATTCCTTCGTTTTCAACAGCAGGTAACTGAGACCCTAAGAGATTTTAAAAATCAAGTGAAAGGTCATTCTCTCCTCTAAGGCACAGCACTTACTCTACAGTTAGAATTCAGTTCTTTCCCCACAAACGCAACCTGTCTTATGAAAAATGCTATTAAACATTTATACGTGATGCTCAAAACAAGCCATCTGTATGTAGTGTGTGAAGAGTTGAAACAAGTAATGATAAGTTCCAGCTAATCTCCAACAGCGTCTCCGGAACGTTCGCGCTCTGCCTGGCGATCACAGCACCCCCAGACTCTCTGTGAACTCACGTGTTTGTCCTCTTTTTGTTCAGTTTCTATTGTTGATCCCTTTTCAGCAATTCTTCTCCTAGAAAGAAGGTAAATCAGATTGTTTAAAAATTCATCTCTTAGTATAACAAGTACTTCTTCAAAAGGGAAGAACCGTGTCCAGCTAAATTATATTTGAATGAAATGAACACAATCCTCTCAATCGTGACCACATTCACAGAATTTCTTGCTTACCTCCTGGCCAGCAGGGCACTCATTTCCTCCATCAGACCACTGCCCCCTAATGGGAGGGGTCCATTTCCGCGACCCGTATCTGATTTGGACAAGGCAGGGTTCACACTGATGGTGCTCCCTCCGCTTGGGAAAGAGGAGTCCTCCATCTTAACGAGAATACAAACACACAGTGAATGAACCCCCTATGTCAGACAACCCTGAGTGTGTTACATTCAAAACAGAAGGAAACATTAATTTCAATAAAACCATCTAAATATTGTTTGTAAAATCTTTCTAAGAACCAATGGAGTGAATGGCACAGACTTTATATTAATCAGTGGAAGTTTCATCAAAGTTAACATCAACAGTAACAGGATAAAATGGGATAAACACAGTAACAGGATAAGACACGTCTCCCTGTTCGACACACTGACAGGGACACACACTTTGGTAGGGAATAAAAGTGTAACCTGTCCAAAAACATGCAGTATACAATGAGGAAACCTATCAGGGAAAGCAAACTGAATGATGAGCCCCAAAAATAGGTGTTTTACAAGCATCAACAATGTCAACATCATGTAAGAAACACCGAGGGACCGTGACAGGTCACAGCACACCTGAGACAGTACCCAGAGGGACTCCGGGGTCTCGGGCTAGGAAAGAAAACTGCCGTAAAGGACGCTGTGGACCACAGGTGAAATGTGACTAGATCTGTAGATTTAGCAGGCCATCAGCTTGGCTTCCTGACTTTGGTCATTCTACAGTGGACACGCAGGTGACTGTCCCTGTTCGCTCCAGCATTTAGGCAAAGCGGGGCATCGTGTGTCTGACAACAAGGGAGAGTGTGTTCACGCAGAAGGAAACAAACACACAGAAAAACAAAGCAAATGCTGTAAGCGGTGAGTCTGGGCGATGGGTTCACGGGAACTGAACTCTCTCCACTGTTCTGGAGCATAAATTATCTAAAAGTTTTCACTCAGCGAAGTTCATAAAAGTAGAAGGCAGGGAAGTCAGTACTGAGTCGCGGAGAAAGGACAGGACACACACAGAAAACGGGACACTGGGACACGCATTTACCCGGGACACTTTCCTCAGCTTTGCTCCGGCAATGGCAGCGGCAAGTCCAGTCAAAGGGCGATTGTCTTCAGATACGGGTCCCGCAAAAAATCCAGAGGCAGGGAGCGGGGGCGCAGGGGGCGGAGGGGGAGGCGGGGGCACTTGGTTGGGCAGGGGGGGCGGTGGGGGCGGTGGGGGCGGCCCCGCTGCGGGAAGCGGAGGGGGAGGCGGTGGCCCCGGGTGGGGGGGCGGGGCCGCGGCGGCCGGGGCTGGGCCGGGCGGGAGCGGAGGTGGGGGTGGGGGTGCGGGTGGTCCCAAGACACCGCCTGCAGGAGAGACAGGAGAGAGCCAGTCAGCGGGGCGCTGCGGGACCCTCTTTGGGAGGCGGTGCGGGCCGCCGCCTCCGACATTCGCTGCTATTCATGGATCCATTTAGCACAGTTAAAGTCTGGATCTGGGTGAAAAAGACACTAACTACAAGGCAAAAAATATAGGACTTTTTTCTTTAGATTTCTGGGTGTTTCTGGGATTTGGCAAATACAGTAATTGCTTATAAAACCTGCACTGGGGCAGTGTCCCTGGAGACGAGCTAGTGTGCTGAGGGCACTTATACTGTCTCCAGAAACTGACCCAAGGCCAGCTGCGTGCACCCCTAGACGCGGTGACAGTAAGTGTGTGGTGGTGGGGACACTGCTGTGTGTTGGCTGCTGTCTGGCCTGAGACCGCAGGGGGCGCGGGTCCCCATTCCAGTATCTTACACACGGTCCAGTCTTAAATCCAATGTTCACACACTCACTGAAATGAAGGAATCTACTAGAAGAAAGCACCACCTCAAAACAACTTGAAGTAATTAAACGACAGAGGTTCTTTAGTGTAGAAGACAGGGTAAGAGAAAACTGTCTCCGTATCTAGTAAAACCCCAGAGTGAATGAACAAGAACTTGCTTCCTATCAGAAGAATGACCTAGAGGGCACTCCCTCCCTTCTAGAAGAATGTCAGGACAAATAAAATGCTATTTGCACAACGGGCGCTGACTTTCTGAAGAACAGAGAGCAGGGGCCGGGGCTCTTCCGGGGGGGGGGGGGGGGTTGGGGGGGGGGAATCTGACCGGGTCAGACTCCTGTGCCTCCCTGGCCCGCACTGCTATCCCACCACACACATCCCCACGTACTAGAACTCTGGCTCGGTGTTGAAGCAAATTTGAGAAGTCAACGGAAAAATCTACACAGCAATAACAAGTCTTACTACTTAAGAACCAAGATTTTTTTAAGGAGGTGTTCAATTTAAATCCAGACTGTAACACTGTTTCTTTATGAATACAAATTTGTTGTCATACTCCTTCCTTTACTTCCTGCTAAATCCTCTTTTTGAAAAAAAGGGTTGCTAAGCCTCTTCTTACTTAGGTCTGGAACCAGGGCCTTCCCTACCTACAAACAACCCATCCTTACAAGATGGTCTCCTCCCTCCCGTTACCATGGCAGCAAGGCTAGGAAGGGGAGGGAGTGGGAGGGATAAGGGTAGACGATGCTTATTCCCTTCCCACCACCCCTTCAGCCCACCATGCTTGTCATTGTGGACCACGGAACCCACTGGGGCACACACCAGGCCTGCCATGCTCCCCACCCCCTGTGCAAGGTCAGGCTGCCCCACAGGATTCAGGGGGCCCCACCCCAAGAAGTCCAACGTGGGACACCTACTAACACAGGAGAAGCCGAAATGAAATAGGGCCCACGGTCGGAACTGCCCCAGAGGAGGCTCTGGGACGGTACCCCTAATGACCATAGCTGGGCACCAAATAATAGTCTCCAAATTTCCCACACATTAAAGGAAAACAAGGCAGATCATATATTTGTGTAGATAAACGTGTAAGTAACAATTTCCTAGTGAAACTTAAAAGAACTGCGTTACGGAGGCCGTCAAATTCTGGGAAAGCCCTCCAGCTGTGATCCCGTGGAAAACACCAAAATCCAGATCTATAGGGCACTTCCTCATACCGATCCTCCAAACGCGATCGACCCAGCAGAAAGGCACCGCACTCATCTGCCACCTGTTTGAGCTACAGGAAGTGTGGCAGTGGCGCGAGGCCGTCCGCCTCTGGAAACCACCCTCCCCGTCCTTCCAGGCGGTGACAGCCACTGGCGCACAGCTTTTCCAGGGCCAGTTGTTAGTAGCAACGACGGGAGCCTTACCCTGTGGGGCTGGAGTCCCGGCCGGCTGGGAGGCTGCCTGCAAGCCCGGCTCAGAAGCAGAGGAGTCCCCCAGCACAGAGTTTAGAGGAGTCTCCGCAGGGGCGGGGGCAGCTGCAGAGGGAGAAGGGAGAACACTAGGCTTGGAGGAGGGAGTTGAGGCAATGGGGGTGCTTGCAGGAGGAGAGGCTTGAGATCCACAGTGCGCGCGCGGTGCGAGGGAAGGCGGCGGCGGCGGCGGCGCTGCTGGCCCTGAGGTAGGCGGCGGAGACACTGGACACGTGACAGAGTCAAGCGGCCCATTGGGTGCTGTTGGTGACGGAGGCATTGGGGGCACAGGAGAAGAAACACAGACAGGGAGGACAGGCCTCGGGCCGGTGGCTTTGCCGGGGGGGCTGCTAATCATGACCGGAGGAGATGGAGGGAGGGGCGACACAGTGCAAGTAGACCAGGCACAGGGCTTCGCGGCTGGAGGCTGAGGAGAGGGTGTGTTCACGGGAGAAGAAGGCCGAGAGTTTTTGTTCAGAGGACGAGGAACTGTAGCGTAATGGGGAAGAACAGGGTGGAAGGCTGAGCCTACGGATGCTGCAAAACGTGTCGCTGAGTGCCGAAGAGGCGGTGTGGGGGGCGTGCAAGTAGGTGGCAAAGCGGTCACCACAGCAAAGTCAGGACTGGCGTCTGACACTGGAGCTGAGATGACTTTAGCATAGGATGGAGGAGGTGCCGGAGGAGGCTGGCAACTGGCATACGCAGGAAGTGGCGCGCTATACGGGGAGCTGTCGGAGGGCGGAGCTGCACGGAAGGTGGGGAGCAGCAGCAAAGACGGGACAGAAAAGGAGAGAGAAAAAGGGAGCGAGTGAAGCCACAGAACCAGCATTCGGACAAAATGCACACATGTAGACCACAGTTAGTCCCCGAGAACGCGCTCCCTTGTACATGCATCCTGAGACCCAGGAGGGGAAGACACAAGTTTTCTCTTTACCTGGGGAGTAGCCTGGTACCGAACCTGCTTAGCTCGGCTTTTGCAAGAGAAGGATTCTCTCTCAGGTCTCACTATTTAGTCCACTAAAAGGACATTCGAATTGCATGAACAGGACCACAAGCAGAAGAATACGTCTGCTTGCTTTTTACAAATAGCAAAACTAGCAAAAAGTTTTGTAAAGGGCTAGGAGGAGCCCCAGTTCGGCGCCTATTTGTGGATAAGTCTTGTTTTGTTGGCTACAGCCCCAGAAAATAATTAGGCAGTTAAGAACAGGTAAATTATCTCAAACAACAACCAATCGGCTACTGAGACCTTTGATACAGGTCATATGGAATAGGAATAATTCTTAAATCCTATTACAATAAATGTCAATTTTAATAAACGTCTCAAACTTTGTTGTTTTAACGCTTATATCTTTCAATAAATTCCATCAGATTTAGAAATGTTCACTGGTTTTTTGCGATACTAGATAGAATACATGTCAATAGTTTTAGAGAGGATACTTTTCGGCTACTACCCTGAATTCCTCCTTCAAACACTTGAGAGCACAATCAAGCAAAGTTCTTGAATAGGACGGGATTTAGGACAATTCAAGCGACCTCAAAAAGGGACTATATTCCAAGTTCATCCAATGGAAACACTTCCCATAAAACACACTTGTACTTTATGGCCAGTTACAGGGAGTGAGAAGACTTGGAAAGCCGGACTTGCCCAAGTCTCCCGGTGGTGCCAAGGGCGGTAACACCGAGCGGAGGAAGAAGGCAGTAAAGCGGCCAGTGCGGCCTGTTTCTCCGCGCCCCCCGCCCCGCCCCCCGCACATGCACCCGCACCCAGGAGCGCGCTCCTTACCGGCGGCGGACAGCCTGCGCTCCCGCTCCCGCTCCCACTCCAGCTGCTCCTGCCGCTCCAGCTGCTCCTGCCGCTCGCGCTGCTCCCGCTCGCGCTCCCGCTGCTCCTGCCGCTCGCGCTGCTCCCGCTCGCGCTGCTCCCGCTCGCGGTCGAGCCTCTCCAGCCGCTCGCGCTCCAGCCGGTCCTGCCGCTCGCGCTCCCGCTCCAGCCGTTCGCGCTCCAGCTGCTCCTGCTCCAGCCGCTCCCGCTCCGCGCGCTCGGCGCGCTCCCGCTCGGCGCGCTCCCGCTCGAGCTCCTTCTGCCGCTGCTGCTCTTGCAGCTGCCTGAAAGCCCAGACACGGCCGTGAGAACCCCGCGGCAGTGGCCGCTCCTCCCCGGAAACCCGCTCCTGCAGGTGAGCCTACCCGCCTTCGTTCTGATGCACAGGCCCGCCCGCCTCCCAGCCTCAGGGGCTTCCCAGCCTCAGGGGCCTCCCAGCCTCAGGGACGTGAGAATAACCGAGCAGGGTCACCATTACCACTCGACACTACGGCTCATTTCATCGTGCACTCACTGTTCGTGAGGGAAGTGCCACTAATAAATGAATTTCCCAAGTAACCAGGCGTACCACTTTAGTGACTGAGTCACTGTATCAAACTATCTGGATACGAGTTAATATATTATCATTTTAGAGATGCAGTGGCCGGCCACAGTAACGGCTCTGAGAAAGTTTGCTTCATTTATTTTTGAGCCCTTTCCTGCTGCTTCCTAAGGGTCACCACTGGCAGATCTGCTGGGAGGAAAGGTACACATTATCTTAAGATTCTGGACACATGGCTCCAAACTGTGTTCAGGAATAGTGTCTGGGCTTCCCAGGAGCCCAGGGACAGACAACTTTCTTTCAGCACTGCCGGTTTTAACTGTCCATCACAGGACAGCTTGCCTCCTGGCCTGGGGAGCATACTCGAATGCTGCATGTGTTCTCTGAAGGGTTTTCTCCCCGACAGTTAATATTCCATCCTCATCTGTAGAGTTCTTTTCTCTATTAAAAATAGTGATGTTGAACATCACACATGTTGGCCACATGTATTTTGAACTTTTATTATGGCTTAACTGCCTTTGATTTTTAAAGTTTCATTTAAAACTGTAATATGTTAACTTTGTTAAAGTTATGTAATATGGCTTTTAACTTATTACATAGAGAGTCTAGTGGTGGACTTTCTGCATGTGCTCTGCCTCTGACATCCCGCTTAGCCCCTTCTCACAAGATCACAGAATTACTTGTTTTTACAATAAAATCCTTAGCTCATATGAAATTCATCTTGGGTTTGGGCATGCAGTAGTGAGCCACATCACAGTTCCTTACTAGCCGAAGATACCATCTTTACATGTTAACTGTTTCTGAAATCCCACAATGCTTTGGTTCGTGGACCTGTTTGTCTAGGGTAGCACCAGTATGCTTTGATGTCTGAAAGAAATTATCTAGTAGGGTGCATCCATCCTTATTCCTCTTCTGAGTTTTTCTAGAAGATTCTCAGACACTTAGCTTCTTCTGGGTACGTTTTAGAATCACTGTTAAATTTACCCCTTGTGCCAAGGCCTATCCTTCTCAGTCCTATTAACATTGTCTTAAATGTGAAGATCAGTGGGAAACATCCAGGTCTTTTAGTCTCCTTGTCTAAGAATGTATAGAATGTCTCAGAATTTATGCAGTTAAATTAAAAATCTCCTTCTTTCATGCTAGGACTTCCAGTGCTGGCTGTGGAATCATGATTATATTAAAATCTACAGAGGCCCAATGTATGTGGTTCTGAAACATACAGTTTGCTTTTAACTTCCACACATTCGTATAAGAGAGCAAGCAAAGGTCTCCAAATATCCATCTGGACCTAAACAACAGTCTTACCGTAAAAGTTAACTTTCCCCAAATAAAAATACTCAGCCCCATTTTCTACATAATAATTTCATAGCACTGTGGGTAAGATCAAATGAAGTAATGCCTTAAAAGCTCTTTTAAAAATGCCTGGAGGGGCGCCTGGGTGGCTTAGTCGGTTAAGCGTCCGACTTTCGCTTAGGTCATGATCTCGCGGTTTGTGGGTTCGAGCCCCGCGTCGGGCTCTGTGCTGACTGCCAGCTCAGAACCTGGAGCCTGTTTCAGTCTGTGACACCCTCTCTCTCTGACCCTCCCCTGCTCACGCTGTCTCTCTCTCTCTCTCTCTCTCCTAGAAATAAATAAAAATATTTAAAAAAAAAATGCCTGGAGCATATGAACACTTGATAAATGTGAGCTATAATAATAATTATTTGGAAATTTCAAATTAGGACTTTCCTTGGACTGGCTAATAGATTGGCTGGGTTCCAATTAGAGGCAGAACTAAATGACAGAGGGTGTACGCTAATCTTTGTTCCTCCCAGCAGTAGCAATAAACCACTAAGATTCTTCCAGATATCTCTCCCCCTATTTCCTAAATGGACTATAAAAAAAGGAAAAAGCCCACTTGACAAGTGAACCAATCCCACATCTGTCAGAACCCAAAGCCTCCCTCTGGACAGATCACCGACTTAACAATGTTGCAGGAGATGCGCCTAGGAAACTCAGTCGCCTGACAGCTCAGAGCCTGGAGCCTGCCTCAGATTCGGTGTCTCCCTCTCTCTCTGCCCCTCCCCCGCTCATGCTCTCTCTTGCTCTCTCAAAAATGAGTAAACTAAAAAAAAATTTTTTAAAGAATATTGCAAGAGGGGCGCCTGGGTGGCTCAGTCAGTTAAGCGTCCGACTTCAGCTCAGGTCATACTCTCATGGTTCGTGGGTTCGAGCCCCGCATCAGGCTCTGTGCTGACAGCTAGTTCAGAGCCTGGAGCCTGCTTCAGATTCTGTGTCTCCCTCTCTCTCTCTGACCCTCCCCTGCTCATGCTGCCTCTATCTCTCTCTCAAAAATAAAGAAAATATTAAAAAAAAAAAAAAAAGAATATTGCAAGAGATAAACAGAAGAAACCCACAGCAGTACTCAGTACAAGCAGTCATGGAGATACCAACTAGAACATAATAGATTAGATTTTTAGGGCACAGTACTGACTCTCTTATGCTGATAGACAAACCACTAGCTGCCGAAGTTTCGGAGGGGTAGCGAGAATATCGTTGCAGGGGTGAAGGCCACAAATTCAGTGTATCCACAAGGATATTTTCAATAATAAACTAGGTAGAGTCGGTTCTTTTTATAATACCTAATAAATAAACTCGGCTGGGATATACATTAAATTTAAAACATACAATATGTGTCAAAAAATAAGAGCATGTGCCATAATGTAATCTGCTAAGCAATCTATTGGGTCCACAGGCAAGGAGATGCCCATGTGATTGTAATCAGAGCGTGTCTGTGAACGGCAGCTGAGGGAAGGTGTTTCAGGGCTCGGCAGCTCACGGAGAAACCTGTGATGACAGACCCAAGTCACTGGGCCCTTGTACATTTCTGTGCCACCTTTCACTCTACTCCTGTCAAAATAACGCAGATGTGTTAAGCTTATTAACAAAAACCAACAGATCGTTGCTCCAACCTTTCCAGCCCTGGTCCCAACATCAGAGACAATTACAATGTCAATTCTTTCTGGACTTTCCATCTATTTTCACTTCAGTGACTGCCTACGAGATCTCTTGAGGTCCCTCACCACCCTCTGAGATTCCCCCAGCGCGGTCCCAGGAGAATACACATTTCTAGTGAAGTCCATATTGGAGTTTACATTATTGATACAATAACGTAAATACTGTTCAGTTAAGCCATATAGTATCCTAAAACTGCACTGCATTTCTTTTTATTTATTCATTTTAAGTAATCTCTGCACCCACTGTGGGGCTTGAACTCGTGACCCTAAGATCAAGAGTCACATGCTCCACTGACGGAGCCAGCCAGGCCCCTCACTGCAGTTCTCATTCAAGTTCTTTGGGTTTTGATTGTTTGTTTGCTTGTTTTTGCCTCCAAGTTAATGGCCACTTCTCCAAGCAACACAGTGCTTTTATCGCTAAAAGTCAGCCTACATCCCAGGCAGAGGCCAGGTCCAAAAGAATTACTGCAGAATGGCATTTACAGCCAGGGAATTCCCACTTAAGATTATTCCACAGGTTATGATATTTATTCTAGGGTTTTTAGCCTATCAGAGATCAAGAGTATCCAAGGATGTAGGAGAGGAACACAAGGCCAGAGGCATTCCCCACAGTCACTGACACTCAACTGGGGCAGGCAGTTCACACAGCTGCAGAAGATTCTTTATTTGAAGCATTACAAGCCCCTGGTTCATTTTTAGCCCGCTCACTGAAAAGATGCACATCTAAATATATTTCCCAAACTAGTGTGTCAAAAAGAAAATCTCAGGCTTATAAAACTTTAGTAGCAGGAGTAATTCCCAACTAAAGGTGATGGTGTATTAACATGACAATCACGTTTCTATCTCTAAAGCAGGACATCTGTATTTTTTTAGAGAATAGTTCCCAAATTTATCATCTCTGCTTCTCTTAGAAACATCACTCCTGACTCTAACACAGGAAACGCAGGGACCCTTCCTCCCAGAGCTGTGCAGCATGGTTTCTTCGCTCATTGCTAGAACCATCTGAGGACCTTTCCAAAGTACAAGGGCCCTAGTTCTGAACTTCGCAAAAATTCTGCCAGACTGATTTTTCTTTTAAGTTAGGATATGCATTTTACCACACTTTGAAAGTTTCTGAGAAAACGTACATTTTCCTGAAACAATTACAGTGCAAATGACCAATATTATAGCCACCAAGAGCATTTTAAAAATATCAAAAATAGGGGCGCCTGGGTGGCTTAGTCGGTTAAGCGTCCGACTTTCGCTTAGGTCATGATCTCGCGGTTCGTGGGTTCGGGCCCCGCGTCGGGCTCTGTGCTGACTGCCAGCTCAGAGCCTGGAGCCTGTTTCATTCTGTGATTCCCTCTCTCTCTGACCCTCCCCTGCTCACACTGTCTGTCTCTGTCTCTCCTAAAAATAAATAAAAACATTAAAAAAAAAATTAAAAAAAAATATCAAAAATAGTTCCTCCTATGATAAAGAGTGTCAGGCAGATAAAGGATGGTTTATATCTTGAAAGAATGAAGCAGATGAGGGCAGACCGGAGACAACACTATGACCCTCCGGACACCTGTCAGAAAATGAAACTACACACACTCTCTGACCATATCCCGTGGATATTTCACTTCTCCGTTAGTAAGCAAATAGAAAGCGGACGGGATGAAAGCAGAGGATGCAGGTCTCATGTTACAGAGCCCCGGACACAGGCCCGTACTTACAGCAGGAGGCGGTCGACTCTCGGTCCATCCTGCCGCGGCCGGCTGGCCGG